TGCTGCCACCCGGTCCCAGCAGGCCTGCTTCTGTGCATGAGCTGCAGAGGAAACACCTTTTCCGACCACTCACTGGCTAAGCTCCCTGTACTCCACTGGCAGTGTTCTTAATAACTTGGATAATAAGACTCCAAGAAGGTGATCAAGAGTTTTTCCACCTCACTCCTGGAGGAAAAAATGAAGGTCCACTGCTGGAGGGGCTAAGAAATGTCATATCCTGCCCTAGCCGGTTTGGCTCAGTGGATAGAGAATGGGCGTAGGTTTGATTCTGATCTAGAGCATGTACCTAGGTTGCAGGCTCTTCCCTGGCCAGGGCCCAGGTCAGGCCTCATGCAGGAGGCAACCAATCGAAGTGTCCACCTCACATTGATGTTTCTCTGACTTTTCCTCTCTCTTCCACACTCTCTAAAAATGGAAAAATATCCTCATATGAGGATAAAAAAAGAAAGAAATGTCATATCCTATGAAAGAGACATCTTGAAAATGCCTAAAGAAATTTGTCATTTTTTTGTGGTGAATGGACTGGAGTCCATATTGATGAAAACACCTTGGCAGCTGGCAGTGGCAGTGGCAGTAGCAGCAGGGTGATGGGGGTGGTGCCTTCCCCTCATAAGCCCGCAGAGGGAGGCCAGACTGCGTATTAGGCCTAAGCCCTCAGTAGGACATCCCCTGAGGGCTCCAGGACTGTGAGAGGAGTCAGTCTGGGCTGAGGGACCCCCCCTCCCCCACAACTGCATGAATTTCATGCACCAGAATTTCTAGCATAAAAGCCTAATATGCTAAGTGTCTGACCAAGAGGTCGACCAATCGACCAGTTGCTATGATGCAAACTGACCACCAGGGGTAGACGCTCCGACCAGTAGGTTAGCTTGCTGCTGGGGTCTGGCTGATTAGGACATTGGTGAGACAGGGCCGACATGCCCTGGAGCCCTCCTGTAGTTCCTTACCAGTGGCCAACCTCTCTCAGGGACTGGGCGAGACCGCCTGGATGGTCCTGATTGCCAGCCAGGCAGAAGGACCTCAACCGTGCATGAATTTGTGCACCAGGCCTCTAGTTAATGTATAATTCTTTTTCTTAAAAAAAAATATATTGATTTTTACAGAGAGGAAGGGAGAGGGATAGAGAGTTAGAAACATCGACCAGCTGCCGCCTGCACACCCCCTACTGGGGATGTGCACGCAACCTAGGTACATGCCCTTGACTGGAATCGAACCTGGGCCCTTTCAGTCCGCAGGCCGATGCTCTATCCACTGAGCCAAACCAGTTAGGGCTGTATAATTCTTTATATGACTAGAAGTTTCATTTACCTTTACCAAAAATTCAGTGCCTAATCTGAGTTGGTTTGTAGTTGAATGTTTAAATTTACAAAAATTAACATTCTGTGATCTAAACTGAATATACCATCATGGATTCTGTAGCTTACTTGCTGGGGTGTGATCCCATGCATAGTAGGATTACTAGTTCAATTACTGGGCTTGTGCCTGGGTTGTATGCTAGCTCCCCAGAATGGGGTGCGGAGGAGTCAGCTGGTCAATGTTTCCCTCTCAAATCGTGTTTCTCTTCCTCTCCCTTTTTCTCTCTCCAAATATTAATAAAATTGCCTGTCTGGTGTAGCTCATTCATTGAGCTTTGACCTATGAACCACATAGTCATGGTTCGATTCCAAGTCAGGGCACATTTCCAAGTTGCCAGCTCAAATCCCAGTGTTGGGTGTGTTGGAGGCAGCCAATTAATGATTCTCTCTCATCACTGGTACTTCTTTCTATTTCTCTAAAAAGTCAATAAATATATATTTTTAAAAATTAATAAAATGTTCTTTAGAAATAAACTGATTGTACCTTTTTGCATTTTTCCACCAGTGTGTGAGGTGTTCACATTCTACATAGTCTAGAGATTAAACGTATTCTGTAATTTTGTCATTCTACCTCACTGTTGTTTGATTGTATTTTTTCTAAGAATAAGTCAGAAGTTTGTTGTTGTTCTTGTTTGTTTGTTTTTATAAATCCTCAACTGAGGATATTTTTTCTATTGATTTTTAAATTTTTTATGTATTTATTTATTTTTAATTGATTTCAGAGAGGAAGTGAGAGAAATACACATCCATGATGAGAGAGAATCCTGCATGGGCTGTCTCCTGCACTCCCCGTACTGGGGATGCAGCCCAGAACACAGGCATGTGCCCTTGGCCCAAATCAAACCTGGGATCCTTCAGTTCCAGGCAGATGCTCTATCCACTGAGGCAAACCAGGTAGGGCCCCGTGTCAGAACTTTGCGGAGAGTGTCAGACCACTCCTGTGATCATTCTTCCAGTTTCAGTGTCCTGGAGGTTAGTTTCATTTAGAAGTTATTTCTAGCCCTAGCCGGTTTTAGATTTTTTTCAACTCCTCTGCTACGTTACTTAGTTTTAATGCTTTATGACATGTTCCAATTGGGTTTATACTTCACTGTGTTTTTTGCTCTGAATTTTAAAAAGTAGATTTTTATTGATTTCAGAGACGAAGGGAGAGGGAGAGAGTGATAGAGACATCAATGATGAGAGAGAATCATTGATCAGTGGCCTCCTGCACTTGGACACCCCCCCCTCCCCCCCCGGCCCCACTTCAGATCAAACCTACACCTCAGGCTTCTACCCAAAACAGAAATCAAACCCTAATCTCCTCTTTCATAGGTTGATGCTCGTACAGTAAGCCACACCAGGCAGACTTGGTCCTAATTTTTAAGTAGTACAAGGTTCTTACAGAATTATGAATTTTAAAGATTCACTGCACATATGCATACCCATCATCATTTGTTATTTATAATATTTCATGTGGTTTTAAAGTTCTGGAGCTGTATATACATAGCTCATCTTTCAGTATGAATATGTATTTCATTTACAGTAAGTATAATTTGTGAATATTTGTGCAATCTTATCTCATAGAGAATGCCTGAAACATCAACTCCGCTGACATCTTCAATATGTCTATAAGGGACGAATTATCTTTCACTATGATAATTACAGTGGCATCTTCACATTAACAAAAACACCAGTTACTTTGCCAGAATTCAAGTCTCCCAAAAGTGTATTTATCTCTATTGATGTGCAAGTAAAAGTTAAACAAGAGTTCAATTTAAAGTTTATATTATGCATGCTAGTTCTTCTTTACTTCAAAGGTATGTCCTACATTCTATTCCCCACCACCACACCCCCCGGCCTTGCTCAATTGAGCTCAGCTCAGGTGCATTCACATCGCTATACATCATCTCTCCGCCTCATAACCCTGAACCCTACAGCCTGGGTTCAGGGTGCCTGTCACTTCCTGCAACTCAGTTCCCTGTCAAGGACCCTGAGGAAGGTGGAGGGGAGAGAGGAGTGTTGTGGCTTCTGAGGACAAAGGAAATGCAGGGAAGAGTAGAGTAGACAGGGGTTACGTGTATCTGAAATTACGCTGAGGATGTGGGTGGTGAGTATTGAAACCAAGATCAGAGACAGGCATGGAAGATTTCAGAGCTGCATGCCCTGCCTTCCCCAGGCTGTGGGGTCCACCAGGAATTGGGTTGTGGTAGATACTTCTGAAACCTCACAAGCTCTCTCTGGCTGCCATATGCCAAGTTCATGGGTGAGTCCAGAGAGGTCCTGTGCTGTGGAGCAGGAAGGTGGCAGAGCTGAGGCAGTGAGTGTGGGGTCTGAAGTTGGGATGGGGTAGACATTACACAGTGGTGTGCACATCTGGAGGAAGTGTGAGCTGATGGTCCTGGAGACCTTGTATCGGGACTTTTAAAAATATATATATTTTTATTGATTTAAGAGAGGGAGAGTGAGAGACACAACAATGATGAGAGAGAATCATCCATAAGCTGCCTTCTGCACACCCCCTACTGGGTATGGAGTCTGCAACCAGGGCATGGGCCCTTGATTAGAATCCAACCGGGATCCTTCAGTCCACAGGCCAATGCTCTATCCACTGAGCCAAACCAGCTAGGACTGGTGTTGGGACTATAGGGTGAAGCATAAACCCAGGTTTGTCTTTGTCTGGGAGGCATGATCTGGGAGACTGCAGTGGTATTGCTTGGCAGGAAGGCTGACGCCCTACAGGTATTGCCCAGAGCTTAGATGGTGTTTCTCTGCTGTCCTTCCTATCCCATCTGTTGTAACCAAGGGCAATCACAGTGAGTAATGGGACTGCGATGAGAGAGCAGCCTGCACTGGCATTAGGGTGTGGTGTCCACCCTAAACTGGGGAGACCTGGAGGAGGTTGAGGGTGGGGAAGATACCTAATTGTTGTTTGAATTTTCATCTCTCTGATGATCAGTAACTTAGAACATTTTTTCACCTGTCTCTTGGCCATCTTATCCACACTGCAGCCCAGGCAGAGCTGCACTTCGGATGGCATCAGAAGCAGATGCCTTTAAAGTATGAGTGTCTGTTCTGTGCCATTAACTTTGTATAATGGAGTCTAAATAGAGGCAGGTAGAAGCTGTTAGAGACTTGAGCCACCTCCCCCAGCTACATATGGCCTGAAGGAGACACGTGCCAAAAGTCCAGAATGAAGAAACAATGCCTGCCATTCAGAAAAGAGCTGGTCCTGAAGAAAGATATGCAAAACCCGCAACTAAAGGAAGCCACGCAGGCGCCTCAGAAACAAACTTTCCCTGATAATCCCCTCCCCTGAAGGCGCTGGAGGGCCCTGAGTATACTTGGTGTGTTCTTCAGCTATTTGCCCTCAAAACCAGTCCTGGAATGAGCTGTGGAAATACAGGATCCTGGACTTGGAGCGTAGGAACTACATTACCCAGAAGGCCGGGCGTGGAATGACACCAGGCTGAGCCAATGGAAGCTCAGAAAAGGCGTGTCCGTTTTTCCACTTCTGTAGGGCGGGACCGGTAGTCCTGGTCGGATTTTGTCTTCTGTCTCTCGTCTGGCGGCTGGGGTCAGGAGCTCCTGGTCGCAGAGTCCCGTGGAGAAGGCTAGAGGGTGGTGCTCCCCGCCTCACAACCCATGGTGGGAGCCTGCAGGGGTGCGCACAGCTCACACGTGAGATTGAAGCGCCAGGCCTCGGACGGGACCGCCATTCCTGAGCGGCTTTTCCCGCTGCTCCCGCCCGGCTCAGCTCACAGAGGGCAATGGCGGCGCCCCCGCTGAGGAGACGGGCTGAGGTGAGTTTGTGTCCCCCAGGCCCTCACCGCCTCTTCACACAGACACCGCAGCCTGGGGAGGGCGCCTGTCCCGTCCTACAGCTCAGTCCCGCGTGGAGGCCCGTGGGGAAGGCGGAGGGGAGAGAGGAGTGTTGTGGCTTCCGAGGACACAGCAAGTGCAGGGCAGAGAGGACGGGGTGACTTGCATCTGAAGGTCCCTGAGGATGTGGGCTGTGAGTATTGACGGAAAGAGCAGAGGCTGCAGGGAGGACGGCACAGGCTCATTCGGGTCTTTCCCGGCTGTGGGGTCCAACAGGGGCCAGGGGTGGTCCTGGATCCGTCTGGACTACAAGCTCTCCACACGCCATATGCCAAGTTCATGGGTGAGTCCAGCGATATCCAGTGGCATTGGAGCCGGAAGGGGGCAGAGCTGAGGGAGTGACCCTGGGGTCTGAACATGGGAAGGGGATAAACGTTACCCAGTGGTGAGCACATCTGGAGGAAGTGTGAGCTGATGGTCCCGGACCTGGTGTGGGGACTTAAAGGTGAAGCACAAACCCACGCTTGGCTTTGTCTTGGAGGCAGGATCTAGGAGACTGCAGTGGTGTTGCTTGGCTGCAAGGCTGGGGCCCTGCAGGCATCGCCCAGACCTTAAATGGCATTGCACTATACCTTCCCCTCCCCAATCCTTCCCAGCCAACCCAGCTGCTCTGCTGAGGGCCATGCAGTGAGTAATGGGACTGTGATGAGAGAGCAGCCTGCACTGGCATTAGGACCTGATGTCCACAGTAACCAGGGGCCCTGGAGGAGGTTGAGGGTGGGGAAGGTGTGTAAGGAGTAGGATTACTGGTTCTCAGAGAGACAGCTCTGGTTTCAATTGTCTTAATTCTAACAGGTTGGCGTGGCCTTTGAGGACATTGTCCTGTACTTCTCCAGGGAGGAATGGAGCCTCCTTGATGAGAGTCAGAGACAGCTGTACCTGAATGTGATGCTGGAGAACTTTGAACTTACATCCTCCCTGGGTAAGACCCTCACTCTCACCAGTGACCTGGACTTGGCTTTGCCATTTCCCAAGCCCCATCCCCCAGGGTGTGCTCTGTCCTCCCACGTAGACTGTGGTACTGTTTGATTTTCCAGTTTCCTGGGTAGTTGCTGTCTTGGGGAGGGTTGGTCTGTTTCTGCTGCTCCCTTCTATTCCTGAAGTCCCAATACTCCCCGCTGCACTAAATTCACAGGGAAGGACTTGTGGTTGGTAGTGTTACAGGAAGCCTAAGGGATTCCACCTTGATCAGTGAGGAAAGCATTTTCTCTATTCCTGTTGGTCATTTGTACATATTTTTTGGAGAATTGTCTCTACATCCTTATTGTGTTTATTGACTATATTTTGGTTAAAGAGTGTTCTAACTACCCTGTATATTTTATATATTAATTGCTTATTACATACAGGAACACATAATTTTGCATGTGCTTAATTGTGCTTTGCAGATACTGCTCCCCACACTCGCTTTTCTACAAAGTCCACGTTTTTGGCAACCCTGCGTTCAGCAGGTCTACTGCCACCATGTTTTTGGCAAGCTCAGATGCTTGTTACTAGTGTTTTGCAATAAAGTTTTTAATGAAGTTATATAGAGTTTGTTTTGAGACAGGGTTATTGGATTGTTATTAGCCTGCAGTATAGTGCTAACATACCTTTATTATTCCTGGGGAACTTCAACTATTTGTGTGAATTTCTATCTATATCTCAATATTCTCTTTATTGTGCTGATCAGAACTGAATCCACAACCTCTGCAAATGATTCCTTCATATGATTTGCTAGTATTTTCTCCAACCCTCTAGATTGCCTTTCATTTCATTTTGTTTATTGCTGTTGTGCAATAAAGAAGCTTTTTCTTTATTTTTTGCAGTCTGGAATGTTTGTTTTCTCTATTTTTTCTGGTGAGTTGGTGTCACATTCAGGAAATCCTGTCTAAAACAAATCTCCAAAACTTTTTCTCTAGGTTCTCTTGAAGGACTTTTAAGTTGTAGCACTGACTTTTTATTTTAAGAAAATATATTTTATTGATTTTTTACAGAGAGGAAGGTAGAGGGACAGAGAGTTAGAAACATCAATGAGAGAGAAACATTGGTCAGCTGCCTCCTGCACACGTCCTACTGGGGATGTGCCCGCAACCAAGGTACATGCCCTTGACCCCAATCGAACCTGGGACCCTTCTGTCCACAGGCTGACGCTCATTCCACTGAGTCAAACCGGTTAGGGCTGTAGCACTGACATTTAATTCTGTCCTGCAGGTTGAGTTAAATTTTATCAGTGGTGTCCAGTTTTGTTGTTTGCATGTGAATGTTGATTTTTAACAGCACCATTCATTGAAGAAACTATCTTTCCCTTCTGTGTCTTGCAGCTTTGTCACAGATTACTTGAAAGTATGTGCTGGGTGTTATTTCTGTATTTTTTGTACTGTTCTATTGATCTATGGGTCTGTGTTTCTCCAATAACACACTGTTTGCTTGTTTTCTCTTTATAATAAATTATAGTCAGGAAGTGTGATGCCACCAGCTTTGTTCTCACTCAAGATTTCAATTGTTAGTGGACGTCTTCATTCTATACAGTTCAAGATTCTCTCTCTCTCTCTCTCTCTCTCTCTCTCTCTCTCTCTCTATATATATATATATATATATATATATATATATATATATATATTTCAGAGAGGAAGGAAGAGGGAGAGAGAGATAGAAACATCCATGATGAGAGAGAATTATGGATCAGCTGCCCCCTGAAAGTCCCCCACTGGGGATTGAACCCACAACCTGGGCATGTGCCCTTGACCGGAATCGAACCTGGGACCTTTCAGTTCCCAGGCTGATGCTCTATCCAATGAGCCAAACCTGCTAGGGCAAGATTCTCTTTTCATTACTTTTTAAAATACCATTGGAGTAATCATCAGGATTGCATTTAATCTGTAGATAGCTTTGTGTACTGTAGTTATCTTCACGATATTTCTTTCTCAAATTCATGAGCACAGGATGTCTTTCAACTTATTTGTGGTTTCTTCCATTTCTTTTATCTCTGTACTAGAGGCCCGGTGCACAAAATTTGTGTACAGTGGTGGGGGTCCCTCAGCCCAGCCTGCATCTTCTCCAATCCAGGAACACTGGCTCCTAACCTCTCACCTGTCTGCCTGTCTGATCGCCTCTAACCACTCTGCCTGCCAACCTGATCACCCCAACTGTCCTGCCCCCCCGCCCCCCCGCTGGCCTGATTGCCTCCAACTGCCCCCCCTTCGTGTCCTTCCCCAGTTTTTAGTGTCTGAGTCATTACAGCACGAGGGTGTGATGACCATTTTCATATTAGCTCTTTATTATATAGGACTAGAGGCCCGGTGCACAAAAATTTGTGCACTCGGGGGGGAGTGGGGGTCCCTCAGCCCGGCCTGTGCCCTCTCGCAGTCTGGGACCCCTCGGGAGATAATGACCTGCTGGCTTAGGCCTGCTCCCGGGTGGCATAGGGCAGGCCCAATCCCTAGGTGCAGCCCCTGGTCGGGCTCAGAGCAAGGCTGATTGGGGAGTTGGGGAGCCTTCCCCTGTCATGCACAGTGCAGGGCGGATTGGGAGGTTGCGATGCCACCCTCAGTCACGCTCAGGGTAGGGCCGATTGGGGGGTTGGGGCACCAATCCCTGTCACACTCAAGGCAGGGTCGATGGGGAGGTTGCGGTGCCACCACCTGTCATGCACAGAGCAGGGCCCATCAGGGGGGTTGGGGCTCCGTACCCTGTCATGCACAGAGCAGGGCCAATTACGGGGTTGGGGCGCTGCCCCCTGTCACGCACAGAGCAGGGCCCATCAGGGGGGTTGGGGCTCCGTACCCTGTCACGCACAGAGCAGAGTCAATCAAGGGGTTGGGGAGCTCCCCCCTGTCACTCACAGAGTAGGGCCGATAGGGGAGTTGGGGCACCGACCCCTGTCATACTCAGGGCGGGGCGGATCAGGGGGTTGGGGCGCCGCCCTCTACCACCCACAGCGCAGGGTCGATCAGGTGGTTGGGGCGCCGCCACTCTCACACTCAGGGCAGGGCTGATGGGGAGGTTATGGCTCTACCCCGTCACACACAGAGCAGGGCCCATGGGGGGGGTGCGGGGGTTGGGGTGCCGCACCCTGTCACACACAGAGCAGGGCTGATCAGGGGGTTGAGGTGCCGCACCCTGTCACACACAGAGCCGCAGGGCGATCAGGGGATTGGGGAGCTCCCCGCTATCAGGCACAGAGCAGGGCTGATCAGGGGGTTGGGGCGCCTTCCCCTGTCACGAACAGAGCAGGGTGGATAGGGAGGTTTTGGCCCCGCCCCCTGTCACACACAGACCCGCAGGGCGATCAGGGGGTTTGGGCGCTGCCCCCTGTCATGCTGATCCCGGTGCTGGGAGGCCTCTTGGCTCCGCTGATCCCGGTGCTGGGAGGCATATTACCCTTTTACTATATAGGATAGAGGCCTGGTGCATGGGTGGGGCTGGCTGGTTTGCCCTGAAGGGTGTCCTGGATCAGGGTGGGGGTCCCCACTGCGGTGCCTGGCCAGCCTGGGTGAGGGGATGATGGCTGGTTGCAGCTGGTCACACACCCTTCAGGGCGGGGGTCCACACTGGGGTGCCTGGCCAGTCTGGGTGAGGGGCTGAGGGCTGTTTTCAGGCTGACTGAAGCTCCCAACTGCTCTTTTCTCTTTTTTTTTTTTTTTTTTCTGGGCCAGATTTAGGTCTGGCTCCAGCTCTGAGGCTTCTGCTGCTGAAAGAAGGTATCTGGTTTGTTTCGGTTCTATAATTGAAACACTGTATAACTCCAGCTCTGAGATCCCGGCCTCACTGAAAGCAGGTTTCTGGGGTTTTGTTTAGCTTCTATATTTGTTACAGTGTTTCTTAAACTGCAGGCTCAGAGGCCGGCAAAGCAAGCGGGGAACGTTGGTTTCCTCCATCACTGAAGCAAGCAAGCCTCATGTTAGTTTCAAGCTGCCTGGCTGCCAGCCGCCATCTTGGCTGGCAGTTAATTTGCATATCTCGCTGATTAGCCAATGGGTAGGGTAGCGGTCGTACACCAATTACCATGTTTCTCTTTTATTAGATAGGATTATTGGGTTTAATGTATAGATGTTCCACCTTTTGGTCACATTTATTTATATTTATCTTATTTTTTTTCATGCTATTTTAAATTTGACTATCTTCATTTTCCTATCAAAGAATTTATTACTAATGTGTAGAAATGGAACTAATGTTTGTATGTTTATTTTGCATCCTGTAACTTTTCTGAATTCTTTATTCTTTTTTTATCTTCACTCAGGTAGTGTGAATATTTTTTCCATTGATTTTCTTTTCGAGAGAGAAAATTGAGAGAGACAGAGAGAGCGAAACATTGCTTGGTTGCCTTCCACATTTTCCCATACTGGTAGCGGTATCAGACTTGCAGCCAGGGTACCTGCCCTTGACTGGGAATCTAGCCCATGACCTTCCAGTGCACAGGCTGGCATTTTCACCAATGAGCAACATGGGCCAGGGCTATTTATTTGTTGTATAAACTATATATATATATATATATATATATATATATATATATATATATAGATTGATTTTAGAGAAGAAGAGGAAGAGAGAGATTGGAACAGGAGTGATGACAGAGAGTCATTGAAGGATTGCCTCCTTCACTACCCACACTGGTGATTGAGCTCACAACCTGTGCATATGCCTGAACAATGAATTGAATTGTGACCTCCTACCAGTGGTTCATGGGTTGATGCTTAATCACTGAGCCATAGTAGTCATCCTTTATTTATTTACTAGAAGCCTGGTGCATCAATTTGTGCACTGGGGGGGCGGGGGTGTGTGTCCCTTAACCTGGCCTGCACCCTCTTGCATTCCAGGACCTCTCAGGGGATGTCAGAGAGGTGGTTTCGGCCCAAACCCTGGAGGCCAGGCCGAGGAATTCTCCTGGTGCACGAATCCATGCACTGGACTTCTAATATGCATATAATATCCTTGGTAATCTCTTCCTTCCCTCTCCTGTTTCCTTTCCCTCTGTGATTCATCGGTCTGTTCCATGTTTTCATGCCTGGGGTTTCTGCTCTTGTGTTGAGCATATGCCCTCTGGTGGTCAGTGCACATCATAGGTATTAGCTGGTCAGCCTGTCAGCTGGTCACTTAGGCTTTTATATATATAGATTTTAAAGACAGGAAGCGAGACAGTGAAAGAGAGAGTGGCAAACATTAATCTGCTGTTCTACCCATCTATGCATTACTGGCTTTCCCCTGCATGTGCCCTGATGGGGGATCAAACCTACAACATTGGTGCATAGGGACTACACACTCACCAAGTGAGCCACCTGCCCAGGCCTCTGAATTTGTTTATTAATTTCAGAAGCTCATAGATCTTGACAAATTTCTCTATGGAGGGTCATGTCATCTGCTAATATCAACATCTCTTATCATGCATTGTGGTTCATAGTGTCAGGTGAAATGTCTTAACTTTCATTTCTTTACAGTTTATTTGAGGCTTGGTTTTTGTTTTGGGGTTTTTTCCCCCGTTAGTGTAGTTAAAGTTTTTCTAATATTGTATCTTTCAAAAAATACCTGTTAGGTATTCTTGCATTTTGTCTTTTGTTCTTTTTATTTATGTTTTCTAATATTTATTGTTTCTTTCTTTTGTCTTTGGGTTTACTTTCTTGTTGTGTTTCTAGTTTTCTGAGGTGCCAGTATTTTTTTTAGGTCTTTTTTCATATTGTAGGCATTTATCCCTATAAAATTTCCTCTTAGAATTGCATTTTCTGAATTTTATACATGAGCTTTGGTAGGAGTCTTTTCATTTACTTTGTCCCTAGACCTTTTTGAGTTCTCTTTTTTATTTGACTACCTTGGAATTCTTATTTATTTATTTAATATATTTCTTTATTGATTTCAGAGAGGGGAGAGGGAGAGGGAGAGAGAAACATCAATGATGAGAGAGAATCATTGATCGGCTGTCTCCAGCATGTCCCCTACTGGGGATTGAGCCCGCAACCCAGGCATGTGCCCTTGGTTGGAATCAAACCTGGGACCCTTCAATCCGCAGGCCAACGCTCTATCATCTGAGCCAAACCTGCTAGGGCTCTTATTTATTTTTTATATTCAGTTTCAGATAGAGAGGAAGAGAGGTGGGGGCGGGGGGCAGAGAGAGAGAGAGAGAGAGAGAGAGAGAGAGAGAGAGAGAGAAACATACATCAGTATGAGGAAGAAATATCAATCGATTGTGTACACACATATCCTAAGTGGAAATGGAACTTGCATACTGATATGTGCTCTGACTGGGAATTGAATCCGAGACCCCTAGGGTCACAGGATGATACTCCAACCAACTGAGCCACACTGGCCAGAGTATTCTGTGGTTGTTGGTTTTTTAATATATTTTTATTGATTTCAGACAGGAAGGGAGATGGAGAGAGAAATATCAATGATGAGAGAGAATCATCATTGGCTGCCTCCAGCACGCCCCCTACTGGGGATCAAGTCCAAATCCTGGGCATGTGCCCTTGACCGGACTTGAATTTGGGACCCTAGTGTTGGAATCCAACCTGGGACCTTTCAGTCTGCAGGCCTATGCTCTATCCACTGTGCCAAACTGGCTAGAGCCATTCTTTGATTTTTAAAAAGAAAATTTCCAGTATTTTTTGATTAATAGACCACTATGGTGAATGATAACAGAAGCACAGTGGTTGATAGAGATAACTCTGACCGATGTTTCTCACTTTAGCTGTCTTCAAATACGTTTGTTCACCTAGTCTTTCCAGTCATTTGTTCTGTGCAGTTGTCCTTATTTGGTGTTCTGTAATACTGTTTGTCTTCATTGTACTCTTATTCCCATTTTCTGTGGGTTTTTGTTCATGGATAGCTGTCTACTTACTCTGGATGGGGAAAGACTCTCATATCTCTGATTCTGCCCTCTTGATGATGTCACTCCCATAGCTCTATTGCCTGTGATCTCATCTGTGCTTCCCTGTTGTACCACAGTGTTAACCATCGATCTTTTCAATGTTTCTTTTACAATTTCTATCATTTATCCTGTGCAATAACTCTACTGGGAATTAAGTGGAATAATCATTTCTGCATCACAGTAGAAACATGACTTTATGAATGACACAATGGATCAACAGGCTGTCTTGCCTGAGTAAAGGGCTGTAGGGAGGTTTTTACACCTGGGCTTTGTTACATTCATAACTAGGAACCCATTTGGTTCAACAGTGTTTTGTTACCATTGCTCATTTCTCACCCAATTCTGCTTGTCCTTGCTTCTTGTTGACACTTTGTCAACAACTCAGTTTTAATAGTGATCAGTGCTTATTCTACTCGGATTCCCAGTCCTTGGATAACCTAACCTCTCTAAACTTTCACAGGTCTCTCTTTAGTGCCCTCCACTGTTGGTTCATGCCTGCAGAGCCTTAGAGTGCACACCTATTTACTGTATTGAGGTAGAACATCATGTGCTCTAATACAATTGATTTTTATGGGTTTGAGCACATTCAAATTATTATACACAGACTCACATCACCAGCATGAAAGGTCCTATCGGAAGCCATTTGTGGAGGAACAACTAGCAGACCTTTCCTCTCTTCTTTGTGTCCCGTCCTGTGCTTCCGTCCTTCCCTTGGGGGAGATTTTCACCATTGACTGACCTTTGGGGCCAAGAAGTGTATAACAGCCATTTCCTCAGAGTCTATGGCATCAGGCCTAGTCATGACCGATAAACATTTGTGGTGAAGATATTCTGTTTTCATAAGGTCAGCATGTACCTCACCAGCGTTTTCTTTTGTTCAGGTTGCTGCTGTGGAGCAGAGAATGTGGAGGCAGCGACTGAACAGAAGATTTGTGTAAAATTGTCACAGGAAAGGATTCCACAGTTATCCTTGTCTTCCCAGAAGAGCCACCCCTGTGAGAGTTGTGGACTAGTTTGGGGAAACATTTTCCACATGATGGAGCTGCAGGGAACACAATACAGACAGATACTGTTGAGGTGTGGGGCATGTGAAAAACAATTTTATTTCAGTGCAAAATGTCACCAGCAGCATGTGAGAGAGAAGACTTCCATTAGAAGCGTGGAAAGGATCTCACTTGCAAATAACTGCAATTTCAAGGTGTCTCAAAATCATTTCACCTGTAGGGAGGTTGGTCAGGGTATACATTCCTGGTCAGGACATCTCCACCTAATGGCTACTCAGACCAGGGACAGGACAAATGATATTTCGAAGTGTGGGGTGAAGTTTCAAAGGAGAAAAAAAAACACAAGAAAAGAATATAACAAAGTCATTGGCTGCAATCACACCTTTATACAGGATAAATGTTTCCATGCTGGAAGTCAGTGTTTTCTGTGCTGTGAATGTGGAAATTATTTTACCAAATTTTCTAGCTTTCATTATCAACAGAGAGTTCACACTGGAGAAAACCCTTATGAGTGCAGTGAATATGGGAATACTGTTACCAATAACAGTGGCCTTCGTTGTCATCAGAGAGTTGACACTGGAGAAAGGCCTTATCTGTGCAGTGAATGTGGTAATTCTTTTACCAGTAACACTACCCTTCATCGTCATCAGAGAGTTCACACTGGAGAAAAGCCTTTCCAATGTAGTGAATGTGGGAAATCTTTTACGACAATGCATAGCCTTCATTGTCATCAGAGACTTCACACTGGAGAAAGTCCTTATGAGTGCAATGAATGTGGGAAATCTTTTACCCGGAGCAGTAGCCTCTGTAATCATCAAAGTTTACACACTGGCGAAAGGCGTTACGCATGCAGTGAATGTCCAAAATCTTTTACCACTAGCACTGATCTTGGTCGTCATAAGAGAGTTCACACTGGAGAAAAGCCTTATAAATGCAGTGAATGCGGGAAATCTTTTGCCAGTAGTAGTTGCCTTCGGTGTCATCAGAGAGTTCACACTGGAGAAAAGCCTTCTAAATGCAGTGAATGTGGGAAATCTTTTACCACTAGCAGTGATCTTCGCCGTCATCAGAGAGTTCATACTGGAGAAAAGCCTTATAAATGCAGTCAGTGCGGGAAATCCTTTACCACTAGCAGTTATCTTCGTTGTCATCAGAGAGTTCACACAGGAGAAAAGCCTTATAAATGCAGTGAATGTGCGAAATCTTTTATGACTAGCAGTGAGGTTCGGCGTCATGAGAGAGTTCACACTGGAGAAAAGCCTTATAAATGCAGTGAATGTGAGAAATCTTTTACCACTTGGAATGGCCTCCATTATCATCACCAATTTCACACTGCAGAAAGGCCTTCCTAATGCAGTGAATGTGGGAAATCTTTTACCACTAAGACTTATCTTCATAGTCATCGGGGAGTTGACCCAGGAGAAAAGGCTTATAAAAGCAGTGAATATGGGAAATCTTTTACAAGTATCAATGGTCTCCCAATATCATCAGAGTTCATACTGGAGAAACCCCTTATGAGTGCAATTAACATAAGATATCTCTCATCCAAATGCTAAATTTGTGAGACTTTTCTTAGTTGTGTAGGATATGTTCCTCAGGTCTTAACAATAGCATAAAAAAATTGCAAAGTCTAATTTGTCTACTTTATATCCCATATTTAAACACTTACATTATGTAAAGTCCCCACAGGTGTTTCCGCTGTTGTTTTTTATATTCGAACCATATGTGTGTATGTTGCACTTTTTAACATACAAATGTCTTGCCATATCTGTCACTGCGTATTTCTGTTGCTGAAGGTATTTCACCTGCACCTCGTGTAAGGTCCCTACAGATGGTATTGATCACCATCCTCGTGTGCTCAGGGAAGCTAACTCTGTTGTCTGGTTTGTTGACGAAAATTAGGAATACCTGATCCCTTAGGAATTCTTAATTCTTTTCATTCTCAGGAGTTGCCACGTAGAACACGTTAATGTTGGCAAACTGCCAGTCTCATGTGCCTTTTGGTTTGTAAAATAATGCATGCTTTTTACTAAGACGTCTTTAATCTTGGATGTTCCATTTACTGTGTGGGTTAGTTTATAAGGAGATCTGGGCTCTCCAAGCATGATGAGGTAAGAAACGTTTTTGAGATCTCAGACATTCTTTGCCCTGGAGGGAACAGTATGGTGCCGAAATTAGCTCAGCAGTTTTTGCCTAATTTACATTGCTGCCCATATTTTCCTAGGAAACACTGTGGACTCTCTGGTCCTCATGTGAAGATGGATGTTTTGAGACACAGAGATCACTCCAAAGAGGGGGTAGCTGTGACCACCTCAAGTATGTCTGGGAGCACTGATTTTTTTTCCTGTTTTCAAGGAAGATGCTAAGACATTTGAAGAGAACCTCCTCCCCACGTCTTACAGTGGGCCATGTGCCCTAATGCCTACATTGCCATGGGTGATGGTAATTGGTTGGAGGACCATAGCAGTTAGCGGAAACCATTTCCGTGCAGAACCACTGGCATAATTGGTGTTGGAGGTGAATACAGCTCATTAGATGGAATGTTCCTTTTTCCTGTTTTCAAGGAAGATGCTAAGACATTTGAAGAGAACCTCCTCCCCACGTCTTACAGAGGGCCACGTGCCCTAATGCCTACATTGCCATGGGTGATGGTAATTGGTTGGAGGACCATAGCAGTTAGCGGAAACCATTTCCATGCAGAACCACTGGCATAATTGGTGTTGGAAGTGAATACAGCTCATTAGATGGAATGTTCCTCATAGAAACGTGCATCCAGGAATGTTCTGAGGAAAAGTGTATAGGAGCATTGTGTACACAGACCTGAGGGTCTCCAGGCATGTTTATCTTCTGTGGATGCAGTCATTGTCATTGGTTATCATCAAGAGGTTTTGTGGATTCCTGTAGCCTCAAAGATGTTCCCCTCAGAGCCATTGGTGAGCTGGCAGAAAAACAAAGATGAAGGCAAAGGGTGTCTTTAGTCCAGGGATGTGGCTTCTGTGACCCAGCCAGCATTCTTGTTGGTTTGGTTGAAAGTGCTCCATTGTTTGTTAAATTTTCTGTCACTAGGCAAGACAGTCGCCCAGAGGGTATAAGAAGGTGGATTGAAAATAGATTTGCCAAGCCGAAACCGGTTTGGCTCAGTGGATAGAGCGTCGTCCTATGGACTGAAAGGTCCCAGGTTCGATTCCGGTCAAGGGCATGTACCTGGATTGCTGGCACATCCCCAGTGGGAGATGTGCAGGAGGCAGCTGATCGATGTTTCTCTCTCTCATCGATGTTTCTAACTTTCTATCTCTCTCCCTTCCTCTCTGTGAAAAATCAATAAAATATATTTTAAAAAAAGAAAAAAAAGAAAAAGAAAATAGATTTGCCAAGCCTATTTTTCCAATACAGTGGAACAAACACACTTCTTAATCTGGAACCATTTTTAAAAGCTATAATGAGTAAAATACATGTGTTTAGTATAGCGTTTCATAAATCTTGATGTTGTGCGTGAAAGTGAAATCGTTATTATACTCATAACACTGACCATATCTGTCACTGTGCACTTGCTTCATGACCTTTTTTAAATCTGTCCCTGTTCTGTCAATGGTTAAGTCAAGTAACCATTGACTTAAATTCCATTTTAATAGATCACTTTGCATTTTCAAAGTATTTTTCTGCTTTAATTTATGTTTCATAAATACTTGGAAATTTTGTAAAGATATACTAGTAACTCATTTTTTTTCTGATAAATATTACCTTTGAATATATCACCAATAGTTAATCCATTTTTTTGAATCATTTGTTATCTATAATAATAAAAGCGTTATATGCTAATTATACCAGACAGCCAGACAACCTTCTGTACGTCCTTCCAGGTGACCTTCCGGACAAAGCCAGGGCTGCTTAGGGCTAAGGGAAACCACTGCAGCTGTGAGGACCGAGTCCCTTGCATGAATTTTGTGCATCAGGCCTTTAGTTTCTAATAAAACTGATACAAACATTTCTGTATAATTCTTTATATCAATAGAAGTTTCATTTAACTTTGTCAAAATAAATTTTCAGTACATAATCTAGGTCATGGTGTATATGAATGTTTAAATTTACAAAGATTAGCATTTTGTGATCTATACTAAATATACCATCATGGATGTTGTGGCTCAGTTGGTTGGGTGCACTGAAGTGTTATCAGTTGGATTGCTGGTCCTGTGCCTGGATTGTGGGCTACGGGGGTGTGCAGGAGGAAACTGGTCAATGTTGCACTTGAACATCGTGTTTCTACCTCATTCTTTTTCTCTCACCAAAAATTAATGTAATGGCCATCTGGAATGGCTCAGTTATTGAGCTTTGACCTATGAACCAGGAAGTCATGGTTTAATTCCCGGTGAGGGCAGATTCCAAGTTGCAAGCTCAAATCCCAGTGTAGGTTGTGCAGGAGGCAGCCAATCAATGATAATCTCTCTTCATTGGTCTTTCTCTCCTTTTCTTTTTGAGGTCAATAAATATATATTTTAAAAATCAATAAACTATTCTTTAAAAATAAAAATAAACTGATGGTGCCTTTTGGCATTTTCCCACCAGTGTGTAAGGTATTTACCTTTTACACATTCAACAAATCTTTTGTCAATCATTCTTTATTTAAATAAATTCTATAATTTTTGTCATTCTACCTATCTGTTGTTTCATTGTATTTTTTCTAGGGCTTTATGGTGAGCCTTTTCTCAGAAGTGTATTTCTTGAGTCCGTATCTTTTATTTTTTTAATATATTTTATTGATTTTTTACAGAGAGGAAGGGAGAGAGATAGTTAGAAACATCGATGAGAGAGAAACATCAGTCAAGTGCCTCTTGCACACCCCCTACTGGGGATGTGCCCGCAACCAAGGTACATGCCCTTGACCAGAATCAAACCTGGAACCCTTCAGTTCGCAGACCCACGCTCTATCCACTGAGCCAAACTGGTTAGGGTAAGTCTGTATCTTTGTTAAAGCATCTTATCATATGTTCTGCCTAATTTGCTATGAGTTTTGGCAATTTTCTTTAACAAAAGGAACAGTGGAACAAAAAAGATGCCTGTTGGAATTTAATTTTGTGCCTTTTTTGGTGTAGGAAATAAACATTTTTTGTATTGGAATATTTTTTAATGTTTTACTTTTTAATAGATATTTTAATTTTTTAAAAACATTTTTATTGATTCATAGATCAAAAGAGAGAGAGAGGGATAGAAATATCAATGATGAGAGCCCAGCAGGTGTGGCTCAGTGGTTCCACATGGACCTATGAAGCAGGAGGTCATGATTCAATTTCTGGTCAGGGCACAAGCCTGGGCCCCAGGGGAGACCTCTAGTGTGGAGCATACAGGAGACAGCTGACCAATGATTCTCATCATTGATGCTTCTCTCTCTCTCCCTCTTCTGGCCACTTCAACCTCACCTACAGAGACATTCCCATGTCACACATTTCTCACTTTGCCAATGCCCACAAGCACCTTTTTCTTTGGGTGCATTTTAGTGAGAAATGGGACCTATAAGAAAAGTAATCCATATAGGATGCTTTGAAGTTAAAACTTTCCAAGTAAAAGCTAGTCACCTGGTTATTTATGGAGTAGCCTGTTGGTTTTTTTATTTTTGTTTTGTTTTTTGTAAAGGACAATTTTTACCTTATTGAACCTGTCTGTTGTCTTTTTGCATCTGGGATGACATACCTTTGGATTTTCAGGGACATTTCTGTTTCACAGACTCCTAAGCACAATCTCCCAGCACAGAAGATCACAGAGCCCCAATTATTATTGCTCTTGTGTTAAATATTAACTGTTAACTAATCGATAGATGTAAAAATAATTGTGTGTCTATTTTTTTTACTGTTTATCCAACCCCAGAGATTTTCCTCCTTACCTCTCCCCCCCTAATTTATCACCAGTGAATGTCATGTAACCCCCTTATGTCTTCTCCTTTGAGGCTAATGTATAAAAAAGATGCAAAACTGCCGTTCTCCCGAGCATTACTCTATCTGTTGTTACTTTCCTTCCTGGCAAATGTCTCCAACTTGAGTCAAATAAACAGAAAAATTCTCCACAGGTTTGGACATTTCTTTTTTTTTTTTTTTTTTTTTTTTTTTTTTTTTTTTTTTACAGAGAGGAAGGGAGAGAGATAGAGAGCTAGAAACATCGATGAGAGAGAAACATCGATCAGCTGCCTCCTGCACATCCCAACCCAGGTACACGCCATCGACCAGAATCGAACCTGGGACCCTTCAGTCCGCAGGCCGACGCTCTATCCACTGAGCCAAACCGGTTTCGGCTGGATATTTCTTACATCACCAAAAGCAATTGACTCATGGGAAGCAGGAGAAGGTTACATGGATGGGTGTCAGCATTTCCAGGGACACAAGTGACGGAAGACAGATTTATAAACACAAATGTAGAGCAGACCCAGAACCCAGCAAGCTAGAGCTTTCCCCTTGCTTTCAGGGAACAGAAGAAAATGCTCAAGGCCCAGGTCAATTTGTTTTCATTGTGTGTGTGCGCATGTTTTTAATCCTTACCTGAGGATGTTTCTTTTTACCCCCCCCCAATTTTTCTTCTGACATTCTGCAGTAATTTCATGCTTCCATGTTTCTGAATACACTCCATCAGTTTTTTGTTCATTATATTCCAAATGTGAGTGCAATCAAGTGATACTGTCTTCTCTGACTGACTGATTTCACGTAGCTTGATGCTCTCTAGGTCCCTCCATACTGTGTGACAGGGTAAGAGATTCTTTTTTTTTTTTTTTTTTTTACTGCTGCACAGTATTCCATGGTGTAAATATACCAGTTTTTTATCCACTCATCTACTGATGGGTACCTAGGCAGTTTCCAGACCTTTCCTATTGTAAATTGTGCTTCTATGAACAGAGGGGTGCATACTGTCTACTTGATTGTTTCAGGTGTCTTAGGATATATTCCTAGAAGTAGAATCACTGGATCAAATGGCAGTTCCATACTAAATATTTTGCAAAAACTCCCAACTGATGTCCATAATGGCTGTAGCAGTTTGCATTCCCACCAGCAGTGATCTGGGTTCCCTTTTTTCCACATCCTCCCCAGCACTTGTGCTTTGTTTATTTGCTGATGGCAGCCATTCTGACAGTGGTGAGGTGATAACTAAGTGTTGCTTTAATTTGCATCTCTCTGATGATCAGTCACTTTGAGCATTTTTTCACATGTCTCTTGGACATCTTATCCACACTGCAGCCCAGGCAGAGCGGACACTTGCGGGGGCATCAAAAGCAGATGCTCTTAAATATGAGTGTCTGTTTTGTGACATGAACTTTGTATAATGGATTCAATGGCGGCAGGTTAGATCAATTTAGAGACTTGAGGCACCTCCCCCTGCTACAAATGAGCTGAAGGAGACACATGCCAAAAGTCAGGAATGAACAAACAGTGCCTTGCCATTCAGAAAGAGCAGGTCCTTAAGAAAAATATGCATAACCTGCCACGCAGGTGCCTGAAAAAGAAACTTGCCCCAGACATTACCTCCCCTGAAGGCGCTAGAGGACCCTTAGTTATACTTGGTGTATTTGGGGCTGTTGGCCCCTAAATCCAGTCCTTTGGTCAACTGAAAAATACCCGATCCTGGATTTGGAGCGGGAAAACTACATTACCCAGAAGGCCACGCATGGAATGCCACCAGGCTGAGCCAATGGGGGCTCAGAGAAGGCATTTCCATTTGGCCGTTTCTGAAGGGCGGGACTATAGTTCTCCTGGCGAGGTTTTGTCTTTTCCGGCTTCTCAGTCGCTTAGGATTTTCTGGTCGCACAGTCCCCTGGAGAAGGCCGGAGAGTGGTGCTCCCCGCCTCACAGCCAATGGTCGGAGCCTCCGGTGGTGCTCACAGCTTACACTTGGGTTGAAGCTCGGAGTCACCGCCCGGACCCACGCCAGGGCCGGGACAGGGACCGCCATTCCTGCAGCGCCTTCTGCTCCCGCCCCGCTCAGGCCACAGAGGGCAATGGCGGCGCCCATGCGGAGGAGACGGGCTGAGGTGAGTTGAGTCCCCCAGGCCCTCACCGCCTCCTCACACACACACCACAGCCTGGGGAGGGCGCCTGTCCCGTCCTGCAGCTCAGTCCCGCGCGGAGGACCGTGAGGAAGGTGGAGGGGAGAGAGGAGTGTTGTGGCTTCTGAGGACACAGCAAGTGCAGGGCAGAGAGGACGGGGTGACTTGCATCTGAAGGTCCCTGAGGATGTGGGCTGTGAGTATTGACGGAAAGAGCAGAGGCTGCAGGGAGGACGGCACAGCCTCATTCGGGGCTTTCCCGGCTGTGGGTCCATCAGGGGCCTGGGGTGGTCCTGGAGCCGGCTGGACTACAAGCTCTCTACACGCCATGAGCCAAGTTCATGGGTGAGTCCAGCGAGATCCAGTGGCATTGGAGCCGGAAGGGGGCAGAGCTGAGGGAGTGAATCTGGGGTCTGAACATGGGAAGGGGATGAACATTACCCAGTGGTGTGCACATCTGGAGGAACTGTGAGCTGGTGGTCGGGGGACCTCGTGTGGGGACTTAAAGGTGAAGCATAAACCCACCCATCGCCCAGACCTTAAATGGCATTGCTTTCTACCCTCCCCTCACCCAATCCTTCCCACCCAACCCAGCAGCTCTGCTGAGGGCCATCACAGTGAGTAATGGGACTGTGATGAGAGAGCAGCCTGCACTGGCATTAGGGCCTGGTGTCCACACTAACCGGGTGCCCTGGAGGAGGTTGAGTGGGGGAAGGTGTTTAAGGAGTAGGATTACTGGTTCTTAGAAAGGCAGCTCTGGTTTTAATTGTCTCCATTCTCACAGGTTGGCGTCACCTTTGAGGACATTGCCCTGTACTTCTCCAGGGAGGAATGGAGCCTCCTTGATGAGGGTCAGAGACAGCTGTACCTGAATGTGATGCTGGAGAACTTTGAACTTATATCCTCGCTGGGTAAGACCCTCAGTCTCACCAGTGACCTGGACTTGGCTTTGCCATTTTCCAGGCCCCATCCCCCAGGGTGTGCTCTGTCCTCCCAGGTAGACTGTGGTACTGCTTGATTTTTCCAGTTTCCTGGGTAGCTGCTGTCCTGGGGAGGGTTGGTCTGTTTCCGCTGCTCCCTTCTATTCCTGAAGTCCCAATACTCCCCGCTGCACTAAATTCACAGGGAAGGACTTGTGGTTGGTACTGCTGCAGGAAGCCTGAGGGATTCCAACTTGATCAGTGAGAAAAGCATTTTCTATATTCCTGTTGTTCATTTGTACGTATTTTTTGAAGAACTGCCTCTAAATCCTTATCCTGTTTATTAACTGTATCTTTTGGTTGAAGAGTCTTTGGAATACCTTGTATATTTTATGTATTAATTGCTTATTACATACAGGAACACATATTTTTGCCTGTGCTTAATTGTGCTTTGCAGATATTACTCCCCACACCTGCTTTTCTACAAATTCTATGTTTTGTTTTTGGCAACCCTGCGTTCAGCAGGTCTATTCCCCCCATGTTTCTAGCCAGCTCAGATGCTTGGTACTAGTGCTTAGCAATAAAGTATTTTTAATGAAGTTATATAGAGTTTGCTTTTGAAATAGAGTCATTGCATTGTTATTTTCCTGCAGTATAGTATTAATAGACCTTTATTATTCACTGGGAACTCCAACAATTTGTGTGAATTTCTGTCTATATTGCTGTATTCTCTTTATTGTGCTGATCAGAAGTGAATCCACAATGTCTCCAAGCGATTCCTTCATATGATTTGCTAGTATTTTCTCCTGTTCTCTAGATTGCCTTTCATTTAGTTTTGTTTACTGCTGTGCTGTGAAGGTTTTTTTCTTTATTTGTTCCAATCTGCTGTGTTTATTTTTTCTACTTTTTCTGGTGGTTGGTGTCACATTCAGAAAATCCTGTCCCAAACAAATCTCCAAAACCTTTTGTCTTGGTTGTCCAGAGGAATTTAAAATTTTAGCGCTGACATTCAGTTCTGTCCTGCAGGTTGAGTTAAATTTTATCAGTGGTGTCCAGTTTTGTGGTTTTACTTGTGAATGTAGATATATGCCTGCACCATTCATTGAAGGAACTATCTTTCCTTTTTTCTGTGTCTTGCACCTTTGACAAAGATTACTTAAAAGTATGTGCCTGGGTTTATTTCTCTGTTTTCTGTTCTGTTCTGTTGATGTATGTGTCTGTGTTTCTCCAGCAACACACTGTTTGCTTGCTTTCTCTTTGTAATAAATTGAAGTCAGGAAGTGTGATGCCACCAGCTTTCTTCTCGCTCAAGATTGCTTTTGTTAATGGAGGTCTTTTGATTCCATTGCAAGATTCTCTATTCATTTCTTTGTAAAGTACCATTGGAGTTATTGGGAATGCATTTAATCTGTAGTTTGCCTTGTGTACTATAGCTGTCTTCACCATATTTCATTTCTAGATCCATGAACACAGGTTGTCTTTCAACTGATTTGTGTTTCCTTCCATTCCTTTCATCTCTGTCTTATAGTATTCAATGTACAGATGTTTCACTTTTTGGTTGAATTTATTCCTGCGGATTTTATTGTTTTTGATGCTATTTTAAATTTCGTTACCCTCTTCATGTTTTTAATCAAAGAATTTATTGCTAGTGTGTAGAAGTGGAACTAATGTTTATACATTTATTTTGCATCCTGTAACTTTTCTGAATTTCTTTATTCTTCTTTGATCTTCACCCGAATAGTGAGGATATTTTTCCCATTGACTTTTTTAGAGAGAGAGTGGGAGACAGAGAGAGAGAGAGCAACATTGATTGGTTGCCTCCCACATGTGCCCATAGTGAGAGGGAGGATCGGACCTGCAACCCAGGTACCTGCCCTTGACTGAGAATCGAACCCTGGCTCTCCAGTGCACAACCTAGCACTCTCATCAGTGAGCCACAGTGTCTAGGGATAGTTACTTATTCTTTAAAGTATTTATTTATTTATTTATTTAAATATATGTATTTCTTGTTTACGAGAGGAAGATGAGAGAGAGATAGAAACATCAGTGATGAGAGAGAGTTATCGATCAGCTGCCTCCTGCACGACCCCCACTGGTCATTGAGCTCGCAACCAGTGCAAGTGTCCTAAAAAGGAATTGAATTGTGCCCTCCTAGTTCATGAGTCAGTGCTCAACCAGTGAGACATACCTGGCAGCATTTATTTATTGATTTTAGAGACAGGAAGGTAGATAGAGAAAGAGAGGGAAACATTGATGTGCTGTTGTACCCATCTAAGCATTTATTGGCTGTCACGTACATGTGCCCTGATGGGGAATCAAAGCCACTGCCTTGGTGCATCAGGACCACACACTCACCACAACTGAGCGACCTGGACAGGATTCTGAATTTGTTTATTAATTTCAGACCCTCATAGTGGGATCTTGACAAATTTCGCTATGGAGGGTCATGTCATCTGCTAACATCAACATCTCTTATGATGCATTAGGTTCATAGTGACAGGTGTAATGTCTTATCTTTCATGTCTTTTTATTTTAATATATTTTATTGATTTTTTACAGGGAGGAAGGGAGAGGGATAGAGAGTTAGAAACATCGATGAGAGAGAAACATCGATCAGCTGCCTCCTGCGCACCACCTACTGGGGATGTGCCCACAACCAAGGTACATGCCCTTGACCGGAATCAGACCTGGGACCCTTCAGTCTATAGGCCGATGCTCTACTCACTGATCCAAACCACCATTTAGGGCTCTTTCATTTCTTTTTTAACTTACTTGAGGCTTTGTTTTTGGTTGTTTTTTTGTTTTTGCTTTAATGTAGCTAAAGGTTTGCACATTTTAATATATTTTTAAAATACACCTTTTAGGTATTTTTGTCTTGTCTCCCTTTTATTTATGTTTGTTCTAATATTTATGGTTTCTTTCCTGTTGTGTTTCTAGTTTCCTGAGGTGCAATGTTAGGTTCTTTGAGATCTTTTGTGACAATGTCGGCATTTATCTCTATAAAATTTCCCCTTAGAATTACATTTTCTGAATGTTATACATGAGCTTTGGTAGGTTGTTTTGGTATTTACTTTGTCTCTAGAGTTTTTTGAGATCACTTCTGTTTTTGGCTACCCTGAAATTCTTATGTATTTATTATTCTTTTTACATACAGAGGAGAAGAAATGGAGAGAGAGAGAGGGAGGGAGGGAGGGAGGGAGGGAGGGAGGGAGGGAGGGAGGGAGAGAGAGAGAGAGAGAGAGAGAGAGAGAGAGAGAGAGAGAAGAAACATCAATGGGCTGCCTTCTGCACACATGCAAACCAGATATGGAACCCACATTCTTATATGTGCCCCAGCGGGAATCAAACCCTGCACCCTTCGATACACTGGACGATGCTCCAATGAACTGAGTCACACTGGCCAGGGCATTCTGTGTTTTGTTTTGTTTTTAAAATATATTTTATTGATTTTTTACAGAGAGGAAGGGAGAGAGATAGAGAGTTAGAAACATCGATGGGAGAGAAACATCGATCAGTTGCCTCCTGCACATCTCCCACTGGGGATATGCCCGCAACCCGGGTACATGCCCTTGACCGGAATCGAACCTGGGACCTTTCAGTCCGCAGGCCAACGCTCTATCCACTGAGCCAAACCGGTTTTGGCCATTCTGTGTTTTTTAAAAACAAAATTTTCCAGTTTTTTGGATAACAGGCCAGTAGGATCAATGAGAACAGAAATACAGTGGCTGATAGTGGTAATGCTGACCCTTTATTTTTTATTTTTTTATTTTTATTTTTTGAAGGGGGAAATTGAAATGTATTGAAGGCTCACAATGTTAAGGATTTTACAAACATTTCCCCTCGCAGTGTTTTACAGGTCAGGAAACTGAGGTTAAATAAGTTGCCCAAGGTCATGTAGCTAGAGGTGGCAGAGCTGGGAGGCCACCCAGGTTTTTATGACTCTTCATGCTTTACCACCCAGTTGTATAGGCACACAGCCCCTTATGCTTAAACACCCTGGGCATGCCTTGCCCTGGCCATAGTGCCCCTGACAAATCAGAGAGAGTTACTGTCATGCTGGGGATTAGGGGGTGGGGCAGGACTTGATTATTTTCTCCTTCCGGTGCTGTAAGCAGGGTATCTCCCCCACAGCCTGAATACCCATGCAGTACAGGACAGGAGCTCTCCCAGGCCAGAGGAGCAGAGGCAAGCAGCAGGGGCCCCAGAGGTAGGAGAGAAAGGAATAACAGTGGGTATACAGCGAGTTTCTTTCTGTGTCAGCCAGTGCAAGGGAATGCTGGAGGCTGCTGGTCCCAACCAGCTGGGTCCTGTAGCCCCAGCATTCACCTGGATCTGTTCAATGTAGCAAGAAGCCCACATCAGAGCCCTGTCTCCCGGGTACCCCCATTGAGGCTGAGGCTGTGGGGGCGAGTACCCCGCTCAAGCCTGCGGCCAGACAGGAGTGTGCCACAGGGAGGAGCCGGAGCTCAGATCCCCGCAGCTTCTAAGATGGAGACTCTCGGCCTGGCCGTCCCCACTGGCTCTGGGGCACCTGCTTATGCCCATGGGCTCCATTCCCACTGGGGTCCGGGGTCTTCCTGGACATCTGGAGGAAACGAGTGACCAAGGCCCAGCCCGGCCAGCTGCCCTTGAGGTCCCCCAGGGAATGGGCAGGTGTAGGGCCCCAGGGCAAGGGGACCTTCTGGTAGGTGGGAACAGGGCACGGTTTCCCGGCTGAATGAGCACGTAGCAACTTGGGGGAAGGGCAGCGGGCTAGATAGAGGAGGCAGGTTTCAGAGCAGAGCCCGGTGTTGCTAGAGGAGGCGATGCCTGGGTCGCTGTGTGACCGTGGCAGCAGCAGCGGTGGCGCAGTAGCCGGATGAGGAGGCCGGTGCCCGGGTGGGGTGAGGGAACCTGAGCTGTCACTGAAGCGGCGAGGAGGGGGCTCTGCTCTGAGGGGCTGCGGCTGGGCGGTTGCCACCCCCGGGGGGGCCGCCGCCTGAGCTCGGGGAAGCAGGGCGCCACCCAGGGCGGCCAGCCCTCCAGCAGGTGGCAGCTGCGGACAGCGGTGGGGGCGCTCAGGGGAGGTCCTGACCCTTTATTTTTATTAAATATATATTTATTGATTTCAGAGAGGAAGAGAGAGGGAGAGAGTGATAGAAACATCCATGATGAGAGAAAATCATTGATTGGCTGTCTCCTGCACGCCCCCCAGTGGGGACTAAACCCGCAATCTGGTCATGTGCTCTTGACCAGAATCTTACCTTGGATCCTTCAGTCCACAAGCCCATGCTCTATACACTGAGCCAATCCAGCTAGGGCAGACCCTTTTTTAAAAATACATTTTTATTGATTTATGAGAGAAAAGGGGAGAGAGAATCACTGATGAGGTGCTTCCTGCATGCCCCCAACTGGGACTGAACCTATAACAAACGGGGCATATGCCCTTGACTAGAATAGAACCTAGGACCTTTCAGTCCGCAGTCTGACACTCTATCCACTGAGCGAAGTAGGGCTGACCCTTGCTTTATTTATTTATTTTTTCTTATTAACCCTTGTTTTTGACATTAGGTATCTTCAAATGTGTTTGCTCACCCAGTTTCCTGTCATCCTTTCTTTGCAGTTGTCCTTACTTGGTATTCAGTGTTACTATTTTTCTTTATGGTACTCTTATTCCCATTTACTATGGAGGTGTTTTTCTCATGGATAACTGTCTACTTACTCTGGGATGGGGAATGATTCTCTATCTCTGATTCTGCCCATCTTACTTATGTTACTCTCATAGGTCTTTTGCCTGTGACCTCATTTGTGCTTTGTTGTTCTACCACAGTGCTGACCATCCATCTTATAAGTTTTCCTTTTAAGATTTGCATCATTGCCCTAACCAGTTTGGCTCAGTGGATAGAGCGTCGGCCTGCAGACTCAAGGGTTCCAGGTTCGATTCCGGTCAAGGGCATGTACCTTGGTTGTGGGCACATCCCCAGTAGGAGGTGTGCAGGAGGCAGCTGATTGATGTTTCTCTCTCATCGATGTTTCTAATTCTCTATCCCTCTCCCTTCCTCTCTGTAAAAAAACAATAAAAATATATTTAAAAAAAAAAAGATTTGCATCATTTATCCCACGCAATGGCTCAACTGAGATTGAAGAGGCAGAATCTTTTGTGCATCACAGAAGAAACATGACTTTGTCAATGACAGGGTAGACCCAGAGGCAGTCTTGCCTTGGTGAAGGGCTGAGGGGGCGGTTTTAACACGTGGGCTTTGTTACATTCATAACTGGGAAGCCACTTTGTTCATCAATGCTTCGTTACCATTGCCCACTCCTCACCCAATTCTACTTCTTGCTTAATGTTGACTCTTTGCCTACGTCTCAGTTTTAATAGTGATCATTCTACTCGGATTCCCAGCCCATGGATGACTTTAAATTTTGCACCTCTACCTCTTTCATACATCTCGCTTTACTGCCCTTAACACATTGTATGCGGGAAACATATTTATACGTTTTGTCCTTCTTTTCAAAATATTTTCAATAAATCGGAATTTTTACATATTTTATTACATTTATTTCAATTTCCAGTGAGTTTTCCAGTATTTGTTTAAAATTTAAGAAAAATAATTCAGCCGAAACCGGTTTGGCTCGGTGGATAGAGCGTCAGCCTGCGGACCGAAAGGTCCCGGGTTTGATTCCGGTCAAGGGCATGTACCTGGGTTGCGGGCACATCCCCAGTGGGAGATGTGCAGGAGGCAGCTGATCTATGTTTCTCTCTCATCGATGTTTCTGACTATCTCTCTCCCTTCCTCTCTGTAAAAAAATCAATAAAATATATTTAAAAAAAAAAAAAAAGAAAAGAAAAATAATTCAGTATACATTTTATAGTAAATACAAAACGTTTCATTGAAAAAAAATATGTAAAACTAAAGTTATCATAATTTTACTGAACGTTGCCATTTGCACAAAAAATTAGCAAAAATGGCCCACGCCACCTGTTAGCGCGCAATAAAAACTACCCGCAAACAATGTGTTAAATTGTTCTAACTCAAATGTTGTTCCATGCCTGCAGGCCTTAGCGTGCACACGTATTATATTGACGTTGAACATCACGTGCTCTAATATTAATGATGTTGTATGGGTTTGAACACATTGGAATTATTCTACACAGACTCATATTGCCACATGAAAGGTCCTAAAGGAAGCCATTTGTGGAGTAATAACGAGCAGACCCTGCCTCTCTTCTTTTTGTGTCAGCCTATGCTTCTGTCCTCATTTGGTGAGATTTTCCTCATCCAGCGACCTTTTGGGCCCTGTTATATATATATAACAGCTATTTCCTGAGAGTCTGACTCACTTGTCTTGAAAATCAGTGTATGGGATCATGTCCTGTCATCACACATAAACATCTGTGGTGAAGATATTCTGTTTTTATCAGGTCAACATGCACTTCACCTGCGTTTCTTTTCTTCAGGTTGCTGCTGTGGAGAAGAGAATGTGGAGGCAACGACTGAACAGAAGGTTTCTGTAAGATTGTCACAGGCAAGGAATCCCAAAGTGGCCTTGCCTTCCCAGAAGAGCCACCCCTGTGAGAGTTGTGGGCTAGTCTTGGGAAACATTTTCCACGTGATGGAGCCGCAGGGAACACAACACAGACAGATGCTGTTGAAGTGTGGGGCATGTGCAAAGTGGTTTTATTTCCCTGCAAAATTTCACCAGGAACATGTGAGAGAGAAGACTTTCCTTAGAGGTGTGGACAAGATCTCACTTGCAAACAGCTGCAATTTCAATGTGTCCCAGAATCGTTTCACATGCGCGGACGTTGGGCAGGGTGTCCTGACTGGGTCAGGACATCTCCACCTAAAGGCTACTCAGACCAGGGACAGTCCAAATGCAATTTCGACATGTGGGATGACGTTTCAAAGGAGAAAAAATTATTACAGTAGAAAAGAATGTAAGAGAGACATTAGTTGCACCCACACATTTATTCAAGAAAAAGGTGTCCATCTTGGAAGTGGGTGTTGTATGTGCTCCGAATGTGGAAAATATTTTACCAAATTTTCTAGCTTTCATTCTCAACAGAGAGGTCACACGGGAGAAAAGCCTTATGAATGCAGTGAATATGGAAAATCTTTTATCGCTAAGACTGATGTTCATCAACATCAGAGAGTTCATACAGCAGAAAAGCCTTATAAATGCAGTCAATGTGGAAAATCTTTCACCAGTAGTAGTGACCTTCAACGTCATCAGAGAGTTCACACTGGAGAAAAGCCTTATAAATGCAGTGAATGTGGAAAATCTTTTGCACGGAGTGATGCCCTTGGTATTCATCGGAGAGTTCATACAGGAGAAAAGCCTTACACATGCAGTGAATGTGGAAAATCTTTTACCAGGAGAACTGGCCTTCATTATCATCAAAGTGTTCATATGGGACAGTGGTTCCCAAACTTATTTGGCCTACCCCCCCCTTTCCAGAAAAAATATTACTCAGCGCCCCCTGGAAATTAATTTTTTTAAAATTTTAATAGCAATTAAACAGAAAGATATATGTATTAATGTTTCTACCTTTTTCGTAAAATATAGTAGAGAAAGGTGTAAATTAGAAATATTGAAGTTTGAAATTATGAAACTATTGAACTCAGAATAGAAAGGTAATACAAAAAAAGTTAAAACAAATGCACCTGTGACCATCACCGCCCCCCTGGATCGCTGAAAATGCTCAAGGCGCAGGTGAATTTGTTTTCATTGTGTGTGTGCATGTTTTTAATCCTTACCTGAGGATGTTTCTTTTTACCCTCCCCAACTTTTCTTCTGAGATTCTGCAGTAATTTCCATGCTTCCATGTTTCTGAATGCACTCCATCAGTTTTTTGTTCATTATATTCCAAATGTGAGTGCAATCAAGTGATACTGTCCTCTCCGACTGACTGATTTCACGTAGCTTGATGCGCTCCAGGTCCCTCCATACTGTGTGACAGGGTAGGAGATTCTTTTTTTTTTTTTTTTTACTGCTGCACAGCATTCCATGGTGTAAATATACCAGTTTTTTATCCACTCATCTACTGGTGGGTACCTAGGCAGTTTCCAGACCTTTCCTATTGTAAATTGTGCTTCTATGAACAGAGGGGTACATACTTTCTACTTGATTGTTTCAGGTTTCTTAGGATATATTCCTAGAAGTAGAATCACTGGATCAAATGGCAGTTCCATACTAAATATTTTGCAAAAACTCCCAACTGATGTCCATAATGGCTGTAGCAGTTTGCATTCCCACCAGCAGTGATCTGGGTTCCCTTTTTTCCACATCCTCCCCAGCACTTGTGCTTTGTTTATTTGCTGATGGCAGCCATTCTGACAGTGGTGAGGTGATACCTAATTGTTGCTTTAATTTGCATCTCTCTGATGATCAGTCACTTTGAGCATTTTTTCACATGTCTCTTGGCCATCTTATCCACACTGCAGCCCAGGCAGAGCTGACACTTCCGGTGGCATCAGAAGCAGATGCTCTTAAATATGAGTGTCTGTTTTGTGACATGAACTTTGTATAATGGATTCAATGGAGGCAGGTTAGATCAATTTAGAGACTTGAGGCACCTCCCCCTGCTACAAATGAGCTGAAGGAGACACATGCCAAAAGTCAGGAATGAACAAACAGTGCCTTGCCATGCAGAAAGAGCAGGTCCTTAAGAAAGATATGCATAACCTGCCACGCAGGTGCCTGAAAAAGAAACTTGCCCCAGACATCACCTCCCCTGAAGGCGCTAGAGGACCCTTAGTTATACTTGGTGTATTTGGGGCTGTTTGCCCCTAAATCCAGTCCATTGGTCAACTGAGAAATACCAGATCCTGGATTTGTAGCGGGAAAACTACATTACCCAGAAGGCCAGGCATGGAATGCTACCAGGCTGAGCCAATGGGGGCTCAGAGAAGGCATTTCCCTTTGGCCGCTTCTGAAGGGCGGGACTATAGTTTTCCTGGCGAGGTTTTGCCTTTTCCGGCTTCTCAGTCGCTTAGGATTTCCTGGTCGCGCAGTCCCGTGGAGAAGGCTGGAGAGTGGTGCTCCCGCCTCACAGCCCATGGTCGGAGCCTCCGGTGGTGCTCACAGCTCACACTTGGGATTGAAGCTCGGAGACACCGCCCGAAGCCACGCCAGGGCCGAGACTGGGACCGCCATTCCTGCAGCGGCTTCTACTCCCGCCCCGCTCAGCCCTCGGAGGGCAATGGCGGCGCCCCCGCTGAGGAGACGGGCTGAGGTGAGTTGAGTCCCCCAGGCCCTCACCGCCTCCTCACACACACACCACAGCCTGGGGAGGGCGCCTGTCCCGTCCTGCAGCTCAGTCCCGCGTGGAGGACCGTGAGGAAGGTGGAGGGGAGAGAGGAGTGTTGTGGCTTCTGAGGACACAGCAAGTGCAGGGCAGAGAGGACGGGGTGACTTGCATCTGAAGGTCCCTGAGGATGTGGGCTGTGAGTATTGACGGAAAGATCAGAGGTTGCAGGGAGGACGGCACAGACTCATTCGGGGCTTTCCCGGCTGTGGGGTCCATCAGGGCCTGGGGTGGCCCTGGTTCCGGCTGGACTCCAAGCTCTCTACACGCCATATGCCAAGTTCATGGGTGCGTCCAGCGAGATCCAGTGGCATTGGAGCAGGAAGGAGGCAGAGCTGAGGGAGGGAACCTGAGATCTGAACATGGGAAGGGGATAAACATTACCCAGTGGTGTGCACATCTGGAGGAAGTGTGAGCTGATGGTCCCGGGACCTGGTGTGGGGACTTAAAGTGAAGCATAAACCCAGGCTTGGCTTTGTCTTGGAGGCAGGATCTGGGAGACTGCAGTGGTGTTGCTGGGCAGGAAAGCTGGGGCCCTGCAGGCATCGCCCAGAGTCTGGGCAAAGTACGGCCCGCAGGCTGGATCCGGCCTGTTTGAAATGAATAAAACTAAAAAAAAAAAAAAAAGACTGTACCCTTTTATGTAATGATGTTTACTTTGAATTTATATTAGTTCACACAAACACTCCATCCATGCTTTTGTTCTGGCCCTCCGGTCCAGTTTAAGAACTCATTGTGGCCCTCTTGTCAAAAGGTTTGCCCATCCTGTTGGCCCAGACCATGAATGCCATTGCTATCTACTCCCTCCTCTCCCCTCCCATTCCTCATCTCCCTTCTCCTTCCCTTCTTTCCCCTCCCTTAAACCTTCGGACCCAACCCAGCTGCTCTGCTGAGGGCCATCACAGTGAGTAATGGGACTGTGATGAGAGAGCAGCCTGCACTGGCATTAGGGCCTGGTGTCCACACTAACCGAGTGCCCTGGAGGAGGTGAGGGAGGGGAAGATGTGTAAAGGAGTAGGATTAATGGTCCTCAGAAAGGCAGCTCTGGTTTCAATTTTCTCAATTCTGACAGGTTGGCGTGACCTTTGAGGACATTGCCCTGTACTTCTCCAGGGAGGAATGGAGCCTCCTTGATGAGGGTCAGAGACAGCTGTACCTGAATGTGATGCTGGAGAACTTTGAACTTATATCCTCCCTGGGTAAGACCCTCACTGTCACCAGTCACCTGGACTTGGCTTTTCAATTCATAGGTCCCATCCCCAGGGTGTGCTCTGTCCTCAAGGTAGACTGTGGAACTGCCTGATTTTTCCAGTTTGCTGGGTAGTTGGTGTCCTGGGGAGGGTTGGTCTGTTTCTACTGCTCCCTTCTATTCCTGAAGTCCCAATACTCCCCGCTGCACTAAACTCACAGGGAAGGACTTGTGGTTGGTAGTGTTGCAGGAAGCCTAAGGGATTCTACCTTGATCACTGAGGAAAGCATTTTCTATATTCCTGTTGGTAATTTGTACCTATTTCTTGAAGAATTGCCTCTAAATCCTTATCCTGTTTATTAACTGTATCTTTTGGTTGAATAATCTTTGGCATAACTTGTATATTTTATATATTAATTGCTTATGACATACAGGAACACATATTTTTTCATGTGCTTAATTGTGCTTTGCAGATATGGCTCCCCACCTGCTTTTCTACCAATTCCATGTTTTGTTTTGGCAACCCTGGTTTCAGCAGGTCTAGTGCCTCCCTGTTTCTAGCAAGCTCAGATGCTTGGTACTAGTGCTCAGCAATACAGTATTTTTAATGAAGTTATATGGACTTTGCTTTTGAGGCAGAGTCATTGCATTGTTATTAGCCTGCAGTATAGTATTAACATACCTTCATTATTCCCGGGGAACTGCAACTCTTTGTGTGAATTTCTGTCTATATCACAATATTCGCTTTATTGTGCTGATCATAGCCAAATCCACAATATCTCCAAGAGATTCCTTCATATGGCTTGCAAGTATTTTCTTCTGTTCTCTAGATTGCCTTTCGTTTCATGTTGTTTATTTATTTATTTTTATTTTTATTTTATATATATATATATTTTTATATTTATATATATTTATTATTGATTTTCCACAGAGAGGAAGAGAGAGGCACAGAGAGTCAGAAACATCGATGAGAGAGAAGCATCGATCAGCTGCCTCCCGTACACCCCCCCACTTGGGATGTGCCCGCAACCAAGGCACATGCCTCTGTCCGAAATCGAACCCGGGACCCTTCAGTCCGCACACCAACGCTCTACCCACTGAGCCAAACCAGTCAGGGCCATGTTGTTTATTGCTGTTGTTCAGTGAAGATGCTATTTTCTTTATTTGTTGCACTGTGGACTGTTCATGTTTTCTATTTTGTGCGGTGGTTGGTGTCACATTCAGAAAATCCTGTTCAAAACAAACCTCTAGAACTTTTTCTCTATATTGTCCTGAGGAGTTTTAAGTTTTGGGGCTCACATTTAATTCTGTCATACAGGTTGGCTTAGATTTTATCAGTGCTGTCCAGTTTTGTTGTTTTACATGTGAATGTCCGTTTATACCAGCACCATTCACTGAAGAAACTATCTTTCCCTTCTTCTGTGGCATGCAGCTTTGTCAAAGATTACTTAAAAGTATGTGCCTGAGTTTTTTTGTTTTTTTTTGCTGTTCTGTTCTGTTGATATGTGTCTGTGTTTCTCCAGAAACAGAGTTTGCTTGCTTCCTCTTTGTAATAAATTGAAGTCAGGAAGTGTGATGCCACCAGCTTTCTTCTTGCTCAAGATATCTTTTGTTATCCTAGCCCAGTGGTCGGCAAACTGCTGCTCGCGAGCCACATGCGGCTCTTTGGCCCCTTGAGTGTGGCTCTTCCACAAAATACCCTGTGCAGGTGCGCATGTACAGTGCAATTGAAACTTCATGGTCCATGCACAGAAGTCAGTATTTTGTGGAAGAGCCACACTCAAGGGGCCAAAGAGCCTCATGTGGCTCATAAGCCGCAGTTTGCCGACCACTGCCCTAGCCCGTTTTGCTGAGTGGATAGAGGCCCGGCTGGTGGATTCAAGGGGCCTAGGTTCGATTCTTGTCAAGGGCATGTACCTTGGTTGCGGGCACATACCCAGTATGGAGTGTGCAGGAGGCAGCTGATGGATATTTCTCTCCTATGGATGTTTCTAACTCTCTATCCCTTTCTCCTCCTCTTTGTAAAAAATCAATAAAATGTATTTTTTTAAAGAGATTGCTTTTGTTAATGGAGGTCTTTTGATTCCATTTCCAGATTTTCTGTTCATTTCTTTGTAAAATACCATTAGACTGATTGGGATTGCATTTAATCTGTAGTTTGCCTTGTGTACTATAGCTATCTTCACCATATTTCATTTTCTGATCCATGATCACAGCTTGTCTTTCAACTGATTTGGGTTTTCTTTCATTCCTTTCATCACTGTCTTATAGTAGTCTGTACAGATGTTTCACATTTTGGTTGAATTTATTCCTTTGGGTTTTATTGTTTTTGATTCTTTTTTATTTATTTTATTTTTTATTTTTTTAAAAAATATATTGTATATTGATCTTTTACAGACAGGAAGGCAGAGGGATAGAGAGATAGAAACATTGATGAGAGAGAAACATCAGTCAGCTGCCTCTTGCACACCCCCTGCTGGGGATGTGCCCACATCCAAGGTACATGCCCTTGACCGGAATGGAAGGTGGGACAATTAGTCCGCAGACCGATGCTCTATCCACTGAGCCAAACCAATTAGGGCTGTTTTTGATTCTTTAGTAAATTTGATTACATTCTTCTTTTTTCCATCAAAGAATGTATTATTAGGTTGTAGAAATGGAACTAATGGTTGCATGTTTATTTTGCATCCTGTAACTTTTCTGATTTTAATTCTTTATTCTTCTTTTATCTTCACCCAAATAGTGAGGATATTTTTTCCACTGATTGTTTTTTTAGAGAGAGAGTGGGAGACAGAGAGAGAGAAAGAGAAACATCGATTGGCTGCCTCCCACATGTTGCCTCTACTGTGAGTGGGGATCGGACCTGCAACCCAGGTATCTACATTTGACTGGAAATCAAACCTTACCCCTCAATTTTACAAGGCAGTACTGTCATCAGTGAAGCATAGTGGCTAGGTATATTTATTTATTCTTTAAATTATTATTACTATTTTTTTTTATTTTTCTCATTAAGATTTTAATATAGATGTAAATGAAAATTCTCATTTAAAAAAATTAGAGAAAAGTTTCCATTTATTTCTTTAGAATAAAGATTTAGTGCACCAATACAGCCCAAAGCCAAAAGAAAAATAGCTTTGCCCTGTTATTTCCCTAAGAAAGCACTGCAGTTACTCAGAATAGGCCAAAAGAAAAGAAGCAATCCCTGGAGTTCTAGATTTTACGGAAGGACCACATGAGACTATGTACATCGATTTGATGTGCAAATATATGTGTTTTTTATTTCCTAGAAGAAGAGGAGAGAGAGAGAAAAACATCAATGATGAGAGAGGCATTGATTAGCTGGCTCCTGCACGACCCCCCACTGGTGACTGAGCTCGCAACCAGTGCAGGTGTCCTAACAAAGAATCCAATTGTGATCTCCTAGTTCAGGGGTGGGCAATCTTTTTGTGAGTGCGTGCCAAAACCAGCAAAATCTCTGACTCAAAATTCTTCTGCGTGCCAACCCTAATTTTTTGAGAACATGTTACACCTACTTGATATCTCTTAAGGTGTACGTATGTGAAGAATCTTGAAGTAATAAGAAAATTCATTTGAGCACCAAAAACACAGTATATGATGATGAAAAATACATTTATTTTTTAATGTATACATATACACTGCTAGTCCGACAGAAAACGTTATGACTCCGTTTGATATTATCAGTGGTACTTTTGCTGCTGCATCACTGACGACAGAGATTTTACATCAGGCTTATATTTCGTGACCTTCAGAGATATGAACGAGCTACTACTTTCATGCGTCAGGCTACTCCTATTATGAAACTTAACAAAATTCATCACTGAGAACAAAGATTAACAAGCGTATGTGGATGAAAACATGGAGAGTAACGCTGCTGCAAAGTTTTCTAAAGAGAAAAAATTTTCTGGAATGGCATTCCAAGTCCTCAGTAGTTCATTTTTGACACTTCTCTCTGGTACTCCTGTCTCTAATTGCTTTTTTTCAATGTTTTCCAGGTCAACTAACTCTAAGATCAATAAATTTCTGCTTCCAAATTGATGTACTCTGAAATTCAGTCAACTGCATTTTAAAGTCAGCCATGTCTATCCATGAAAACATTTTTAAGTTTAGTTCCTCCAGTTTTATGCTGTCTGGAAACCTCATGAATTTTGCTGTCTCTTCCAGTTCTCTGAATTTCGCAAATCTTGAGGGGAACTGCTCACTAGTTGACTCGATGATGTTTAAAAACCGCTTTTGAAGGCTTTGACAGTCCATTCTGTCATCTTTTGGGAGGCCTTTGATGTGCCTCTTGAGGTTTGGGAAATATCTAAATTTCTCACCATCCACATCCCTTTTTAAAACTTCCGGTTTCTTTTCAAAAGCCTTTATGTAACCAAACATAACTTCAAGTAACTTGCCAGTTCCTTGTAATTTAACATTTAAGTCATTCAGATGTTCACAAAAATTGTAAATGCAAGATGATAAGAGAGGGTTTTGCGTGCCAGCTAAAGTTACTGGCATGCCATGTTTGGCACACATGCCAGGGGTTCCCCCCCCTGTCCTAGTTCATGAGTCAATGCTCAATCAGTGAGACATACCGGGCAGCATTTATTTATTGATTTTAGAGACAGAAATGGAGAGAGAGAAACAAAGAGAGTGAGGCGTTGATGTGCTGTTGTACCCATCTGTGCATTCATTGGTTGTCCCCTACATGTGCCCTGATCGGGGATCAAACCCACCATCCTGGGGCATCAGGTCCACACTCTCAACCACTGAGCCACCTGGACAGGATTCTGAACTTGTTTATTAATTTCAGGAGTTCATAGTGGAATCTCGAGAAATTTCTCTGTGGAGGGTCATGTCATCTCCTAACATCAACATCTCTTATGATGCATTGTGGTTCATAGTGACAGGTGTAATGTCTTATCTTTCATTTCTTTTTGTATTTATTTGAGTCTTGGTTTTTGTTTTGTTTTTGCTTTAGTGTAGCTAAAGACTTGCACATTTTTATAT